TATAATTTCCTCCCTTACACAAGTTTTGGGTTTTATTTGTTCTTTTTCTAGAAATGTGAGGGTCAACATTAGGTTGTTTCTTTGAACTTGTTTTGTTTTCCTGACATGAAAGTTTTTGCTATAAATTTCTCTCTTAGGACTTCTTTCACTGCATGTTTTGAATTTTAGTAGGTTGTATATGCATTATCATTTAATTATAAATACTGTATAATTTTGTTTTTAATTTCTTCTGTGACCCAAGGTTGTTGAGAAGGGTGTTGTTTAATTTCCATGTGTTAATGTAGCTTTTGTGATTTCCTTTGTTGTTGATTTCCAGTTTCATTGTGCTACTGTCAGGTAGTATGCATGAGTTGATTTCAGTTCCTCTACATTTACTTGAACATGTTTTGTCAGCTAATATGTGATCTATTTTGGGGAATATTGTATATGCAGCTGAGGAGAATGTGTTTCTGATGTTTTGAGGTGGAACACTCTGTAGACACCTACTAAGTCCTTTTGCTGACAGGTTTGGTTTAACTCTAATATTTCTGTTTTAATTTTTTGTCTACTTGATGTGTTGTAACCCAAAAACCAAAAACCGGACTCAACTTAAAAGCGCTTTATTTAGCTGAGCTCAGCGGTGGCACATATTCTCATCTCCAAGTATGTGCGTGCCCAGGTGGGGAGACACAAGGGGTTTTAAGGCTGAAAACCGCAAAGGGGAGGTCTTGTGACTTGAGTGCGAGTGAATGCAGCACAGGGGTCAGCGTCCACTTTCGGGAAACAGGTTACATTCTTTTAACATGCGGTTACAATTTTCAGGAACAAATAATTGAATTTTATGGCATAATGTTGATCACGGGATGTTACAAAAAAGATATCGAGATAATTTTGGGAAGAGGGGGTTATATCCTAGAACAAAGAGTTAACTTATTACCTTAGGATATGGGGCTGATCACAATCTGTGGTTAAGAACAAAGGAATACTTTGAACATCAACAAACTGTGTTCAGAGGTCTGACGAACGGCTTGAGACACCAAGATGGAGTTTAAGTTGTCAGCTTATACCAAACAGTCTTAGTTAATAAAGTTACAGTGCAAACATACAGAGGTGTATAATAGAATGGCTATTCTGGTTACAAAATGGAGTCAATCTCATAGGTTATAACAGAAACATACAGAGTTGTATAACAAAATAGTTGTTCTAGTTACAAAAATGGAGATGGTTACATAGGTTATAACGATGTATCCCTTTGTGAGAGCAGGGTATTAAGTCTCCCTGCTACACTGTGTTATTGCTTATTTAGTTTTACATATCTGTTAATATTTGTTTTATGTAATTGAGTGAACCTGTGTTTGTTGCATACATATTTTGTATGATCTCTCTTCTTGGGGTTTTCCCTTAATGAGTATGTAGAGTATGACCTTCTTTGTCTCTTGATCAGGTTTAGCTTAATGTTTGCATTGTCTGGAATAACTACCCCTGCTTTTATCGTTCCTGTGGCATAGAGAATTGTTTTCCATCCTTTAGTCTATGAATTTCTTTTTGTGTTAAATGTGTTTCTTGAATGCAGCATAGTTTTGGATCTTACTTCTTGATCATTCTGCCAGTCTTTTTTTTTTCCAGAACCTAGGATTGAACTCAGGCCTTTGCACTTGCCAGGCAAGCACTTATTCTACTGAGCCATCTCTCCAGCCCTTAGTCTTTTTGTTTTGATTGATGAGTTGAGACCATTATATTGACGATTATAACTGATATGTATTGGCTTTTATCCGTGTTGTCCCTTGTCTTTCTCTTTTTTTTAACTGCTTGCCCTGACTGATGGCTTCTTTCTGTTGGTGTTCCTGTGTTTGTGGTCTTTTTTTTTTTTGCCTACTCAGCCCACCCTGAGGGTGGGGCTGGCATAGCATGTGGCTCTGGGGGTAGAACTGCGGTGCCCTGTGCCAGCCTAAGCTTGCCTAAGCAGGTGCTTTAGACTGATGAGCTATCTTGCTGGCCCTGGTCTTCTCTTTCTAATATGTCTTTCAGAGCATTGTGTGCAACTGGTTTGTTGGCATAAATTTCTTCAGTAGTTGTTTGTTGTGGAAGTGTCTGATTTCTCTGTCAGTTTTGAAAGCTAATTTTGCTGGATCCATCAGTCTAGGTCGAAGATTGTTTGCTTTTAGGCTTTAAAATACTTCATCCTAAGCTCTTCTGACTTGAGAGTTTGTACTGAGAAGTCTGATTTGATTTCTATGAACTTTTTAAATAGGTGATATGCTTTTTTCTTCTTTAGCTACATTTAATATTTATGTTTATGCTGAATTTCTGGAATCTTGCTTTTTATATGCCTTGGTATAGATTTATTTTGATCATGGCTATTTATAGTTCTACATGTATCATTTATTTTTTATGTTAAATCTTTATCCTGATTTGGGAAGTTTTCTGCCATTATTTCTGTCAAGAGGTTTTTAATAGATTGTTGCACTGTCTCTAGCTTTGTCACAGTTGACTGGCTCCAATTAATCGTCTATTGTTTTTGTTCTTTGATTCATCCTATAGCTGTTGGAATGATTTTTCATGATCTCTTGTGATTTTTTTACATAAATTTATTGATAAACAAATAGCAATGAGACAATTTCAAATCAAATCGGTAGGTCTTGAGATTTTTAGATACCTGTCTTTCACTAGTCACTGACAACATTCGTGTCTTCTAGATCTGATGTTCTATCCTCACCTTCATTCCATCTGCTGCGTATACTTTCAGTGGAGTTTCTAATCTCCTACATTTGTGTTTGGATCTGTTCTATTGAATTTCTTTCTTGTTTATGTTTGGCATTCATGGTTTTCATCATTTTCCCGAGCTCCTCTAGTTGCTCATGTGTTTCTTCTTTAATGTCTTTTATTTTGATAGTCATTTCTTTTTGCACCTTAGAGGTCATTTTTGCTACAGTCTCTTCCATTTGCTTTTTTCACTTCTGATGCTATCATGTCAGAGAGTTCCATTTGTTGGCTTCTGATTTCTTCTACCTCTTTGTGTTCTGGACTTCTTCTAGGAAATTGGTTTGCATTTTTCTTTTTTATCTTGTCACTTCTATGTTCTATTTTATTTTGTGTTCTGTGCTGATGCTTCTAGATTCCTAATGTTAGCTTTATCACTGATGTGCAGGCTTCCCTAGGAGGTATCTATTCCTCTTGATGTCTTCTCTCCAAGCACCAGTATTCCAGGGCAATGGAGGAAGGACAGAGTGCAAAATTACACCCCTCTCACCAGCATCATAGTCCTGGGGCAATGGAAGAAGGAAGAAGTGTGGATCCATAGGCCTCACTGTCAACCCCATCCCAAGGACAACGGAGTCCTGGAGGACTGCAGACTTACACTTTCTCTCACTGGTACTGCAGTCCTGGGGCAATGGGAGAAGTAAGAAGGGTGGACTTACAGTCCTCTTACCTACATCTCCATCCTGGAGGTAAGGAAAGAAAGAAGGAGCCTGGATTTACACTGCTGTCACCTGCACCTCCATCCTGGAGGCAGTTCAGGGTGGAAAGAGCATAGACTAACACTGCTCTCACCAGTACCACCATTCTAGGGCAATGTGGACTAAAGGAGCACAGACCTACACTGCCTCTGCTGGCACTGCTATCCTGGGGCAATGTTTGTTATCTTCTCCTCTCACCTTCTAGGACTCCACTCGCATATAGGTTAAACTGCTTGATATTGTCCATAGTTCCCTGAATCTGTTCATTTTAAAGTGTCTTCTCTGTATATATTTAAGTCAGTTTGTTCACAGACTTTGATCCTCTTTTCTTTTACTTTCTGTTCTGCAGCATATCATTTCCATTATCAGTCCTGCAATCCCTAGTTTTCTGTCACATCTAATCTACTGTGACTATGATTTACTGCTCATGTTTCAGCCACTTCTTCCCTATGAACTGGGTAGCATTTAGCAGAAAGACTATATAAACTTGGAACACCCGTTAGTGTCTATATTTTTCTTGCTGTTCAGAGCCTTCTAGTAGGTTTTGGATGTTGGTTTTCATTTTTGTTCCAAGTTTAAAATTGTTATCTGTGTGAGAGTTAATATGATACAATTGAACTCCATAATTATTGTAAGTGGAACTCTGCCTCCTGTTTTATGAAGCTTACTTAATTTGTCATCCATTCTGCTTACCAAGTTAGAGACCAAGTGTCCTCAACTCAAAATAACTAGTCATTAGATCATAACAATTCTATTTCAGGTATGTTTCCTGAATCTACAAATTTTCCTATCTTCACTACATTCACAGCTTTAGTTTTGATTCTCATTTAACTGGTCTTTCTTGCCTTCTAGACTCAGTCAGTTATACTACTTCCTGAGAAATATTCTGGAACACTTTCCTTTTAGGGATACTCCTTTGCTTTAAGACCTCCCTGCATTTCTCCGGCATTTGATCTCCTTGACTTGTGCCATAAAATCCTTCATAACTGAATCTATGTCCTGTGTCATTACACACAGGGTCAATGTTAAATGGTAAACACTTTTGGGCAAGTCAGAACATTCTGTGTTTTTGTGAGTTTGCACTTTTTCTTTCGTCTCACTTTGCTGAATTTACTCTTAAAATTCAATTCATACATCACCTCTTTTGGAAGGTCCTTCTCTGGATAGGTTACTTCTTTCTGTATATCTCTCTTTTGCTTTCTAGTAGCATTTTATAACTCTCCTCATTGATTTGATTGGTAGTTGTCACTATTATCTATCTATCTATCTATCTATCTATCTATCTATCTATCTATCTACTCTCATCTATATAATTTCCTAATTCTCAAGGATTCTAATCCCTTATCAAGGTGCTTATCTTTCAAATATGTCTTTTTGTGTCCATTACATCTACTGAGCACTGTCTATCTGGTGTAGATTTTCCGTGTATATATCTTCTGATGATGACATTACAGACTATATTTTTCAGCAGTGATACTACATGTAATGATTTAACATATAGAAATTAAATTGTCAGAGAACTGAAATGACAAAGTAATGCTCCATTATTTGTTCTTTCTTTAGGAACATTTTATCAGCCATCAAGCACCCCTGTAGAATTCTGCAGGAATGGTGGAACCTGGGCAAATGGCAGGTGCATTTGTACAGAAGAGTGGAAAGGGCTGAGGTGTACAATTGGTAAGTTACTTAGGGTGATACTGGGCAGGGGTTAGGTGACCACTGTAGTCCTAACAGCAACAGCAAAAATTCTGTAGACTTCAGTTGATAATTGTGAAAACAAAGGCCATAATGGTTATGGTTTTAAGACGTGTTTTTTAGCTCAAGCCAAGTTTTCCTCTGGAGCTGTTTACATCTGCAATAAATATCCTGTGTGCTTTCCAGCTGTTCAGCTTCTCTATAGCTCACATTTTTGTTTCCTTCTGACTTCAGTGTCTAATCCACGGCAAATGGCAATATGGTTTCCTTGAGTTCTTTCAGTGGTTGATATACCTTATTACTCTACTTAAATATAATTATTTTATAATATTTAACTTTTCTAAATTGAAATGCATCTTCCTATCAATTACTTACTTACGTGAATATTTTCTCTTTTTTAAATTTCCTTGAAGAGTTATTAAATTAGTGGTTTCACTTTATTTTTATTTATTTATTTTTTGTATTTACTATAGGGTCTACATGGTCTGCAGGGTCTTACTACATAGATTGGACTCGTAGTGATCCTCCTGTTTACAGCCCCCCAAGGGCTGGCATTACAGGTGCGGACCAGCACACCCAGCGTCAATCGCCATCTCAGCGTGCCCCCTCGAGGTTGGCACGACAGGCCCCTGAGTCTGCCTAAGCAGCCACTTTAATCCTCTGAGCTATTTGGCTGTCCCAGTTTCACTTTAAAAATAGTGCCTCACGTCCAAATTCAATATTATTTCCTGGTCTGAAGTGTGCTTCCCAGTGCTCCTCACATTTCCTGATGCCATTCTGAGCTCTTCAGGCCTATTTTCATAACTGGCTATCTTCTATCAACTAGCATATCCCACATATCTTAGGACTTTGTCTTTTTTTCTTTGCCCCACATCCTCAGCATGTCCTTTGTTACTATAGGTTATGTATTTTTATTAATGTAAAATATTAATATATAATATATATTAATTATATATGAATATATATAAATGTACATAATGATTATATTCATTGCAGAGAGTTGGTACATGTGCGTGAGACATCTTCATTAGCTTTATCCATTTCCTCTCCTTCCCTATTGTTAATTCTCAAGATTCTAACTAGTCTGATTCATAATCCTTAGTGGTGTGTTAGGGCTTACTTCCCAGGAATGTATTAAGCACTTTTAAATTGAAACATGTCATCTAACATAATAACTTTCAGTGCCAATAATTTAACCAGATAGGAAAATGCAAAAGTTCCTAGAAGGATAGTGGATTTTATAAGCTCTAAATTACATGACATAGGGCTGGCCAAATAGCTCAGTGCATTAAAGCACCTGAAAGCAGACATAGGGGCCAGGGTTTGATCCCTGGGCCTGCCGTGCCGACCCCGCCCCTGGGTCGTGCTGAGACACCAATTGAGACTGGGCATGGTGTCTTGCACCTGTAATCCCAGTGCTTGGGAGGCTGAAAACAGAAGAATCACTATGAGTCTGATCTAATAGTGAGACCCTGAACACCCTGTAAATCCTTCCCTAAAATACAGAAAATAAAATAAATAAATAAATAAATAACATGGCATAAGTTCTGAACTTTAACTTTTATCTGGTTTCAAATGTTAAAAGAGTATAATTTATAATGATTTTTCTTCTTCCTGTTACAGCTAATTTCTGTGAAAATAGTACCTATATGGGATTTACTTTTAATAGAATTCCAGTGGGCAGATATGGACCTTCTCTGCAAACATGTGACAGGGACACTATAAATGGTATGTGATTTTCAAAAAGACCTCGTTTTCATAAGCTAAGGATGGCTATGCTGTCATAACTGTCATCCTTCCAACTAATGTTAGGTCCCTGGAAGAGGTATTAAAGAACGTTTTTTGGAAGAGTTTGCATCACCTTTATGACTTCACTGTTCAAAGTTTATTGGTAGCACCTCACTTTATGGACCAGTTGTTTGTGATTTTAAAACCTTAGTATGGACCAATTGTTTGTGATTTCTTCTTACCTGTTACTTAATAGTCTTATTTTTCCAGTTTGTCTCCTAGCATTTCATCTGATTAATATTTGCTCTTTGGATTATAAAATCTAATTTCTTAAAACTGTTTTTGATTATAGACTTACAATGTCCATATCCCCTTTCAGACTACTTCCCTGCAAGCAAACATGCTCAGTGGAATCTTTGCTACTACTAGTCCTTCATCTCCTCCATGATTTTAATTATCCATTTTATTTTTTTAAATTTTATTTATTTATTTATGTGTGTGTGTGTGTGTGTGTGTGTGTGGCCAGCTCAGCCCACCAGGGGGCGGGGTTGACTGGCATGTGGTGCTGGGGGATTGAACCGCTGTCCCTGTGCTTTGCTAAGCTTGTTCTAAGTAGGTGCTTTAGACCTCTGAACCATCTCACCAGCCCCTAATTAGCCATTTTAGACCATTCTTTAGCTTCATTATACATTTTTTATCATGGCAACCTTACTTACATAGAGGCGTTCCAAGAGTAAGAGAACAAATAATGATTTCTATTTCTAATATGTTCTGTACTAATATCCAGGATGTCCATAACCCATTTTGTTTAAGTGCCACATTGTATAATATCTTTTGATGGTACCCCTTAGAAATCCATGGTTGTCTTTTGTAATAGGGAGCATCTACTTTGCTGTGTAATTTTCCATACATGCTTTACCTGTTCCTTGTTTGCATTAACCTTCATCTGACCTGTCCGGCAGATCATTTTCTTTTCCTACTGAACTGGATACCTCAGGAACAGAGTCAAGTCTAGATCATTTACAAAAAATGTTTGAAAGAACTGCTGACAGTATTGACTGAGAATTTCACATTTCATTTAGGTATTTACTTTTGTGTATGTCAAGGATGCATTAAAACACTAAATAAATCACATGAATTGTTCTTTCCTATATGCTTCTTTACTTCATTTATGTTATTATTAGTTTTGTTTTATGAAATTGGGTACATCTATGATTGGTGCATATATGTTTAAAATTGTTATACATTATTTTCACTGATTTTTTAGTATAAATATTTATAACTAATATTGAGCAAAAATGTATTTGCTATATGGTCACTTAAAATTTTTATATCATATATAAATATATAATATATAATTTTCATATTATATATATATTTCATTATGTCATTAGAGTAGAGATACAGCAATCAAATAAATTATGAATGACTCCAACCTTCCACTTTAGGTGTTGTTGATGCAGTTCACAATTTCACTTGGTCTAGTTGTTGTCCCAAGAATCAGCTGCTCAAAGTTAGTCTTAAGGAAAAATTTATCTTCTAATCACTTTCTTCTGTAATTATGATTTCATTTATACCAGGTACTTAAGTAGTAGCTATACACGTACAGTGAGGCAGAGAAGTGAAGGTACTAATCCTAGGACACAAACTAAATGATTAAAGAAGCACTTGTTGAGAATCAATGAAATATCTATTAAGTTCTGAAAAGCATTAGAATGTTTTACCTCTCAGGAGTTAGCTAGATAAGGAGGAAAAAATTAGTATACAGTCCAATATCTTCTAGGAATTTTTCAACTGTTTCTAGTCTCTTAGATTAGGATTTTCCCATTATATCAAGTCCAAAGTGACTTTTTTTCTTTTTTTAGGGAAGAGTCTACAGAGTGTTCAGGGTCTCTCTACTACATCAGAATCATAGTGATCCGCCTGTTTACAGCCTCCCAAGGGCTGGGATTACAGGTGTGTGCCACCACGCCTAGTCTTAGCATACCCAAGGGGCAGGACCAGCACAGCAGGCCCAGGGATTGAAACTTCGGCTCCTGTGCCTGCTTGCAGGTGCTTTAATCTGCTGAGCTATTTGGCCGGCCCCAAAGTGAATTTTTGATCTAGAAAATTTTTGAAAATTCATTTTCTGGTATACTTTAGATACACACAATGATAACATTCATCACAAACAATTTGTACCTGTACATAGTATATATTGATTCTTTTTTCTTTAATCCCCTCTGCTCCTTTCAACTCCTCTTCTCCTTATTTGCACAAGTTCAATGCCATTTTTGTCCTAATTTTTGAAAAATAAATCTTCTTCAAAGACACTGTTTCAGGAAATAGCCAACTAGTTACTTAAATTGTAGATTTAAGCATCAAGACAAGCACTAGCTATCTAAAATAATGTTGTAATTACCGATTTATATTTCCATTGCTGTGTATTAAACCATCTCAAACTGACTGACTTGAAACAACCATGATTTAGATTCTTCATGGTTCTATCCACTGAGTGTGGCAGCTACATTCTGGTGGAAAGTCCAGAATAATCTCATTCACATGTCTGGGAGGGTGCCTGCTGGCTCTTGGCTAGAGCACCTCCATTCTTTTCCACATGTCCTGTCTTAAGGTAGGTTATACTGGGTTTCTTACCTAGTAGTCTCAGTACAGCATGCTTCAAGCTTCTTTGGGCCTATACTTTGCAAACAACACATTTGTAATACATTGTGCTGACCAAAACAAGACACAGGTCAGTCCTTTTCAGAGAGTGGAAGAACAGACTTTACCTCCCAATAGAAGGAGCAGCAGAGCCACATTAGGATAAAGGATGTGCACGGGATCTGCAGTTGTGCTGACCATCTTTGCAGACCCTTGTTTTTTTTATTTCTTTTAAAGCTGGACATCCATTAGCCATCAGACTGTGCAGTCTGTCTCTCTATGGAGAGATAGAACTACAAAATGTGATAATAGGCAGCTGTGAGGAGAATCTGCACACCCTGGAAATGCAGGTAGGTCATGTGACTTATCTGATGGGTCATTGGAAAAAAAAATTATGACTCTCAACAAAATCTTCAGAAACCAGACAAATTCTTCAGACATCTGATGGTCAAATCAATGTTTTTTTAAACATCAAGTTAGAAATAACAATACTAGTAAGTAAAACTACTGTTATTTGTTTTAAGTTAATATCCATTTGTGAAAAAAGGACAAATAGATATGTTGATTCAGAAAATTTCAGGAAATATATGATCTATAATAGATAATCTGTAGCAAATTGAAAATGATTTTATCTTTGTAGACTAGTGAAGCTTTGACTGAAATAGATCCCTGATGTTTTAAGAAAGGTAGTTAATGGTCCACTGAATCAGAATAAATAGGAAAATAATTTTGACCAAAAACCTTTTGAGATAGGCAACGCCTAACCTTATGCTAGTCTCAGGGCTGTATTCATAAGCATGAAATACATCTGACTAGATGCGTTTTGTGAAGATCACGCTATTTGAATAAGGGATGAAGGCAAATGTCCATGCATGTAAGACCAAAGGTCAACTACAGGAAAAAAGAGGAAATGCACCTCTATATAGGTTGTGTTTCAAGCATGTTACAAGTCTTACATAATTATTTTATTTATTAAAGGGCTTTTTTTGACAGAGTTTTACTAAGTTTGAGTTAAGCTTTAACTCATAATGTAGCCAATGCTGGACTCAGATTCACAGCTATCCTCTGCCTCTGCCTCCTGAGGCCTGGAATGGCAGGCATGCACCACCATGCCCAGCCTCATTTCTCAGCTAACTCTCTTTAAACTTTTTGTGAGTTGGTTATTATTCCCACCTTACAGGTAATTATAGGTAAGAACACTTGCTAACTGATGAGGTCTTATTGCAGTTCTCTTACACATGCTTCTGATTTTGTGATGGGGTCACATTATAATGAACTAAAACAAAAATATTTTAAATTGAAATTGCATTTAGTCCAATTTCATAGTTTGCCAACACAGCATACTACAGTTAATAATACTTGAGATTTTCCACTGTGTGGCTGACTCAAAGCTGGGGCTTACTGTTGCAGTGCAGCATCACAAGACAGCAGGACACTGCATAATGCTAGCCTGAGAAAAGATCTACCTGCAAAATTTAAAGCAAATCCTTCAGAATATATTTTGCTTTCATACCATTTACAATGTCAAAAATCTTAAATTGAATCATGTGAGTTGTCGATTGTTCATACTGAGCTGAATAATTTTTAAAAATCGTAATTATCACAACATTGTAGATAAGTATTGATGTACTTATCTTATAGATGAGGAAAACATGACTCTGAGAGGTGAAATGTTCTGTCCAATAAGAACAGCTCCAAAGACGATGGTCTTCATTTTAGTATCTACACTGTACTACACTGATAATAGATGGGTGAGGGTAGGGCAAGGATGAAAATAGAGATATGCAAGGGGTTATCAGTCATGTCACAGATTCAGAGTGTGAAGACTCTGCAGTCTGCTGAGCCAGTTCACTGCACATTGTACAATTCCCAAGCCTCTGTGGGTGAGCTCCTTAGCATTTTCCCCTTTAAGAGGTGGAAAATAAACTAAACTCTCAGTGTTGTTTTCTGTATGATACACCTATCAATCATCTTCAGAGTGGCTAGCATATAGCAGAGACCTAGCTACTGAATGAGATACTTGTTTCTGTCTACTAATTGAGTGTTGTTTCTAACTCTTCGCGGTGTGGCATCGATTTAAAATTTGAAATGATGCTGCCATCTAGTGAAAAATGTAATTCCCACACTAATACCCACAGGCACTCAGTTTGGACTATCATGTTTTAGACTCACAACATAATACCCCAGGACCAAATCATATCTGGAGAGGATGTCTCCAAACTTTCTGTGATGGAAAACTAAGTTTAAAAAGTTCCAACTCATTGCAGACCAATAATTTTGGAAAATATAATTAAAGAAAAGATAACTTGGTGGTCTAAGTGCCTTCTTGGAAAACTCAAGGACCCAGGTGCGACTCCTCATACCACATGCTGTGCTGTGCTGGCCCCAGAATCCCAGGCATGCCGTTATGGCCTCTGAAACCAGTCATGGTGGTATATGCCCATAATCCTAGGACTGGGGAGGCTGAGACAGGAGGATCACTTGAAATCTGAGCTGCGTAGCGAAACCCTGTATGAAATGATAGATAGATAGATAGATAGATAGATAGATAGATAGATGATAGATAGATAGATTATTTTTAAAATTAAAAACTACTTCAAATACAAACCCCATTTTATAATTATTAATGATTTTACTATCAGCAACATAAGATTGCTATATAAATTTCTGATCATTTTGTGTATTTATCTCCCTATGGACTTTGTAACAGTCAATGAACAAGGTTCCTGGTTTATACTCTGTGTAGCTCTGATCTTGCTAAGGCAGCCCAATTTTAGTCAATTAATCCTAGAAGATAGTGGAGGCTGAGAAAACCACTGGGCTGCATGTACTGTGTCCTTTATACAAGGGGGAAAAATGAAAAATTTGGTGGATGTGATGTTCAAGGGGTTGAAGTTCAGATAAATTTAAGCTTACATAGCTGTATTTGCTGGCAAATTACTTAGCTATAGTTTTATATTAGTTTTTTCTTTACTTTTTAAACAGATAGATAATATTACAGAAAACTCTAGGAATATTTCAATGGAAGCCCAGATTTTGACATCTGATGCCAATAGGCTGACTCCTGAGAATATCACTTCAGCTACTAAGGTGGTTGGACAGATCTTCAATGAATCCAGAAATGCTGACACTGAGGTAAAACTCAAGATCCTAAAACACTCAAGACAAAGAAAAATGGATCTAAATTCTAGTCCCTTAACATGATATGCTTTTTTAATGGCTTAGGTTACTTAAGATTTTGTTTGCAGAAGATTCTTTCTGAGAGATGCTCAAAGTTGAAAGAAAGAATGAACAAATGAAAGAACAAACAAAAGCAAGCAAGCAAGCAAGCTATCCTTGTCCAAGTATCCTCCCTTTTGGGAACTCACAGTGATCATTATTAGGCTAAATCTTTCAGAAGAGTCCTGAAATGAAGAAATTTCTTATTTTATCAATGTGTTTGCTCCCTGCACTTGGTCTCCATATCCCTATTCAATTTCAAGTAAATAGCATTTCAAAGAGCTCACTGTAGAACGTGCTACTTAAACTGTGATTCTGTTGTGTTTAACATATTTGCATTTGGGTCTTGACTTTCTGAAAACACTAAGCCTAGTTTAACATTATATCACAAGCTAACCAGGGCTGCACCTACCAACATATACCAGGCCTATGTCTGCCCACTGAATAGCCATATATTTCTTTCTTCTATTCCCTTTAAATATCTTATTACAAAAAATTTCTAAATTATCATAGGTTTTTAAAAAGTAATTAGAGCTGGAGTCATGAGTTAACAAAAATGGAATTTAAAGAAAAGAATATTGACTATTCAGTATAGAATTTATAGCAAAGTTAACCAGAAAATACAGGCAGTAAATAATAATCACATGTCAAGAGATCATTTCTATGACATAATCCTAAATTTGTGAAGAGAAACACAAACATTTTTACTAACTCAAATAGTTCTGTAACAAATGAGTTATACTGAGTATTATGGGATCTGTTATTTAACTATCAGAGTCCCTCATTCTTCTCATTTGGTGTCTGCTTTTGCATCTAAGCATTTATTCTTGTGTTCTTAGGAATGAGATGGAGTTCTGTGAAATACTTTGTAACAAAGTGAAATTTGTTATCTTAATTTTTGTTTTTGATTTTCCTTGTCTTGATTCTCTTTGCCTTCTTTGATAAAGCAAAATGTAAGACTTTAATTTTAAAAACTCTTTACCTCTGGATTATCATACCAGCGAAGTCTCTTGCTACCATGGTAACTCAAGTTGGTGGATAAAATGATGATGGTGATGATAATGTATGGTGTGTGTTTTCTGTGATTGTCAGTGACTTCTCCTTGGCAGGCAAAAAAAATTGCTGTGACAACAGTGAGTCAACTTCTCTATGCCAGTGAAAATGTTTTTCAAGAAGCTGCTGCTACTGATGATGAGGATGCTTTTGCAACGTAAGCACCATTTCGAATTGGAAAGAAGCTCTTTTTACTTCTTTAGGTTAAAGCATTAATGGAAATGTCTATTCCCTCATGAATGCAGTAACTTGGTTGTTCTCTGGAATACTGACAGAATCCTTAGCTCTCCACTTGATCTTATTGCTATCAGGAGTGCTATATGTGACCTTCTGGTTCCAGGGGTGGCCTTGGCTGAGAAACAAAGAATAATTAAGATGATGGAATTTATAAGTTATCTTCCCTAGCCTGGGTTTGGCACGGCCAAGGGGCAACCACGCACAGCAGGGGCTCCTTCAGCTCTGTTCTCAGCACACAGAACTGCAGAGAGCAGCGAACATTGGAGAATACACTGCAGCTTCCAGTCCATACCTCAGCTTTCTATTCCCAAGACTCTGGTGCATTTTAATTAAGCTTTCTTTTGATTTCACAAGAATACACTGAAATAAATTAGCCCCACTCTGATTTCTTTCTTTTTGACTCTTATGTTTCACATTACTTAGTTGTATATTTGTACTAAAACTCATGTAGATTATCCATGGGGAGGTGGGTTCATTTGGATTTACTATTATAAAATCCTTGGTACAGTATATACTCATTGTAGCAAAATAGGAAAATAAGTTGGTGAGCAAATTTCTACCACCCAACTTTATTAACCTGTAATATATATATATTCCAAATATTCTCCCCTACTGTCTCTCTCCCTCCCTCCCTCCCTCCCTCCCTCCCTCCCTCCCTGTCTTTCTATATATGTATAATTTTATGCTACACTGATTTATAATTACCCTTTGCACATAAATCTTTGTAAAAAGTATAAATGGCCATACATCTAACTCTTAATTTTAGATCACTGCATCATATGATTAAACTATCTAACAATGAACATTTAGATTGTTTCAACATTCTTGCTAGTAATCATTGTGAGTTGTCTGCTATTTCCTTAGAAGAAATTCCTGCTCATAGTTTTCAGTTCTGTAATAATTATAACCCACAACTCTTTAGTAGAAAAGTCACTAAATAGAACATTCAGAATATAACACATCTGACAGATGGTAGAATTTGTAGAGTTTCACTGATAAATTTTGTGACTTTATATTTGAGTTGCTATCTGGGTCTTTTTTTTGGACAGGTTCTCACTGTGTAGTTCAGACTGGCCTTCAACTTCCTATGAAGTCCAACTGTCCTTGAACTCAAAGCGATCCTCCTGCCTCAGCCTCCTAAGTGCTGGGATTACAGGCATGTGCCACCATACCCAGTTCTGCCTCATTTTCAGTGTAGAATAGATGCATCTGTACTGCATATATACAGATTTTATTCTTGTAATTTCCTTTAAAAATGTAGTATAACAACTATTTACATAGTCCTTACATTTTATTAAGTTCTAAAAGCTTAATAGTGGGGTGATGTCCACAGATTACATGAAAATACAATACCATCTGATATGTAAGGGAATGAACAGTGGTAAACTTGAGCAGCCATGTGGATTGTCATGAAACCAATTCCTTATGGAAACTGAAACTCATTCTTGATGAGCTGCCAACAGAGACCCCTTCTCACTCTCCTCTCTCTGAGTGAAGAAAATGAATTCTTCTCAGAACATTCCCTGCTTTCCAAACTCCTCTCCTAGAACCAGGCCTGGGTGGATGGTCTCCTGACAGGTACCAGGCCTCTGTCAGCCATCTTGATTTAGCATCTCCTTCATTTCAACCAGTTTCCTCCTTCTGTCCCTCAGCCATTGAATTCCTCTTGTGGTCTACTTATTTATTAAGATAAGTGAAAATAACAAAGAGTAAAGGGGAAGGGAGTGACAGAGCAGAAAGACCCCAGCACGTCACCCCCATCAAGATTCATAGTGCAGTTATCTATCATCTATTCTCTTTTTTTTATGTAGAGAGGATACACATTAAAATGAGACAGAGCTCTGGAGCTGTGGTTAGGATTTCTCTTAGTTGGGGCATCATAGAACAATCAATGAGATTATTACTCCTTTCCACACTTTGTACACTGGTTACAAAGGTTGATTTATAACTTTAGAACTTTTCTGTCATATTGAAAGGTCATATGGGCCCTTACTTGACTAATTTGAGGAATGCAAAACTGTTTCCTAGACACCAACCACTTGGAATGACTACATTTTCCTTTACATTTTTATTTTTTGTTCCAGCAGGTCTTCTCTGGTTACCCGTTCAAATTGTCTTAACCAAATGGAGGTCTGTTACAAAGAGGAACATGGGATCTCATGGGAATACAACATAGGATCCTAGCAGAGCAGGACCCTATAACAGAGCAGGGAGAGGGTTGGGCTCCAAGGCAACACTCTCTACCTTCTCAGTAGAGAAATTTGTGGGCCTTCCTATTTTCAGTAGGAATCATTATTCTCTTATTTTCATTTATATTGGTCTTTACAATGATTTAGTGATCCATCTGATTATTTCAAAATCATCTCTTTCCTGATATAACTGGTGCACTGACTGGAAAAATTCACAAACAAAATAATTTGATGACTTCTTTTACTCACTTATAAGAGTGGTGGTTGGGTATCTTTTGGTTTCTTTGATTTTTTTCTTAGGACTGGGGATTTGATTCAACTTTTAGCCTCCGGATCATATTAACTATTCAGGTCACATTTAACCTAACCAATTATGGCAAGAGGAGTAAAATATCAGTTGGGGGGAAAAAAAGGCCTCAATAGTAGCTGTAAAGAGAGCAGACCTTTTAAAGTGTTTGTGGACGTGGGAAACATAATCTTAATTTTAGCACATCTTTCCCCTTTGTCTACAAATGTTTAAGAGCATTCCTGTAGGATTCCTGGTGGTAACTTCACAAATATTGTTCTACAAATAATGTTTTTAGAAGATTGGAGTTTTCTTAGGTATTCCACTTGAAAGAAGCTCTGAAGTATTATTTTTTAATTGGAAACAGTGTACATTGCTGAAAAGGCATAAAATGGTTGTTTAAAAGAGTGTTTACAGACCTAAGAAAGGGGGGAAGCTTCTTCTACCACAAGGTCAGCAGTAGCACTACAGTGGGCCCTTCTGTCCTGATAGCTCTACCTTGGAGCCTGCCCACCATGGAACAAAATCCCTGATACTTGTGAGACAAAATAAATCCTCCTCCATTCATTACATTATCTATTTCAGGTGTTTTGTACCCACAGCAAAAAGTGGATTAATCCAAAAGCAATTTTTAATTATTTTTAACTTTCTTAAAGAAGAAAAGAATTTAGTGGTAGAAAGAGTTTTGGAATACAGAATATTTACATTTTCATAATACTCCTACTTTTATCACCACTAAAAAGATTATCTTAGGGGCCGGGGAGATGGTTCAGTAGCATAAGTGCTTCCTTGGAAAGCACAAGGGCCTAAGTTCAATCCCTGGTTCAGAAAAAAAAAAGTTTATCTTAGATGTAGAAGTTTGGTTTAGAGAAGTTTAGAAATAGGGCAAATATTTATATAGAAAATAAAAAAAACAAGAAAGAGTTTTAAGAATTTTGTTTTGAGAACAACAAATTGGCAGCTTCCCACCATCCTATATAGTCCAGCTTTAATCCAGGATAAGAACAAATCTTATG